AAAGAATAAAAATTTTATCAAATTTGCAAGTGTCTAAAAATTGAAAGGGACAATTAACACCATAGATCAGTTATCTCAACACTGGCTGCATATTATGTTCAAATGAGAACCTTTTAAAACAAAGTAAATGACTTTAGGAGGGATGGATGACAGAAGATTGATGAAATGTTCATAATTATTGAAGTTAGGTGATGGTCACATAGAAGTGTCAATATATTATTTTCTCTATTTTTTTTTACATTTGTAAAATGTTATAATACAAAGTTAAGGGAAAAAATAGAATACCCAGGCCATATCCCAGATAAATTAGAATCTCTGGGCTTTAGTAGTTTCAAAAACTCAAATGATTCAAATTTGAAGTTTCAGTTGAGAGTCACTGTCATAGAAAATAAAATCAAGATTCAGAAAGATCTGGACAAGTTAGAATGCTCAGTTGACATCAGTGGAATAAAATTTAACATGGATAAATGTAAACTGCATTTAGGGGTTTTTTGTTGTTTTAATCAGCTGTACAGGACAGAGAATACCTAGGTTGGTGCTTGTACTTGTGAAATAGATCAAAGTAGATTGGTCAATCACAAGTTTGATATAATGTGACGTAGTGGCTTAAAAAGCTAATATGATCTTAGACTGCATTAATATAACCTTGGAGCCCACAATATAAAAAACCTGCATTTATTCAGACCATATCTGGCATTCAGGTTTGAATGGCACATTTTATAAGAGACTTTGACAAATAGGTACGTTAAGAGAATGGTAGAAGAAAAATCTCATATAACAGACAATCTCATACAACAAACAATTGAAAGAACTAGGAGTATTTTAAGCTAGGAGAAGAGAAGAATAAGCAAGGGGAGACAAGATAATCATAATATTTGAAGACCCATTGTGTTGAATAGAGAATATGTTTTGCATGGTCCCAAATACTACAAGGAAATAGCATTTTATTTATTCTGAGAAAGACCTTTTTTTTTTTAAAGTGTATAAGAAGTAGCTTTATATTTTATCTTAAAAAGGTAAAAAATGTTCATTGTAAAAGTTTCCAAAAATATGTATAGGCATTAAAAAAAAAATGATCACCCATCATCCTGCTGCCCAGAGATAACCACTGTAAGTAGGATCACCTACCTTATTTGTGGGGCCCAGTGCAAAATGAAAATTCAGAGCTCTTTGTTCAAAAATTAAGAAATTTCAAGACAGTGACAGCAGAGAATTAAACTAAGCAGGGGCCCTTCTGAGCATGGGGCCCTTTGGACAGGTCACAAGCCCTTGAAGCTAGCCTTGACTATAACATTTGGATATATAAATCCTTTCATATTTTAGAAAGGACTTTCCAATTTTTTATTGTGTTTAGTTAGCCAGCATATAGTACCTCATAAGTTTTTGATGTAGTGTTCAAGGACTTTCCAATTATTAGAAAGTCCCAGAAAACAATAGTCTACCTTGGGAAAAGTAGGAATATATAGGAATATAAAGGAATAAGCCAGGCTTTTTATCAGAAATACTATAGAGTGAATATGCTAGAGGTTGGACTACATGACCTGTTAGGATATTTTTCAGCTCAATGGTGCTTTATCTCTATCCAGCAAAAGAGAATTGGTTCATGAGCAATAATCATTACCTGCAAATAGCCTATTTAAAAAAATGGTAGAACCTTGCTTTTTTCTTATCTTCCTATGCCATTTAATAAAAAATATTGAGATGGTGTATATCCTTAAGAAGTTTGGTGTTATTTGTATGGCTGGATGCTACCAAAACCCCATAGACATTACCAGGATCTAGAGCTTTGGTACCTTATTCAATATAGACATTCAAAGGATGATTTGAACTTCTTTATAATTTTAAATCTCTTGTTCTGTCTTGTAGCTATTCTTTCAGTGTCTATTCTCTTCCCAATGTACTATAGCTATAGAAATTCCCATGTGTAGGCTGATTGATGACCTTGGATGTTCAGGCTGTCAGATAATAAACCTCTGTGTACATAGAAAAGCAACCCAAAGTTATCTGCTTGTTTTCTTGTACTTTTACAACCCAGACATTGGCACATATTAATTCCTGATTGACTTGCAAGGACTTGATGATGATTATAGCTTAATGAGCTAGAAGAGTTCCCCAAGTGACTGGAAATGTATTCTAGAGCTAGCTTCCAAATTATTTGTCGTATAGCTTTATATTAACTGACAGATTTAATGTACTTATAAAAACTGAACAATTTCCTTTCTACATAGTGTAAGGCACTTATAATCTTGTGAACACATTTCTGCTGCAAAAAAAAAAAAAATGGCCTTTCTTGTCAGTGATTTTGACTGCTTTGTCCCCAGTCTCACAGCTTTCTATTGGAGAACTAATTGTTACTATGTTACTCAGGAATGATTATCTGTGGCCTCTCCTTTCTTTTCTGCCTCCTTACACATCCACTCTCCCATTATTTTTCAGCTGAGCCATACTTTTTTTTTTTTTTACCACTTTGCTCTTTCTCCTGTTCTAATATTACTTTTTCTAATGTATGTACGTAAGGAAATAGAATTTAAGCTAGTTTTACTTAAAATGTAGTAAAGCCAGGGGTGCCTGGGTGCCTCAGTGGGTGAAGCATCTGCTTTTGGCTGAGGTCATGATCTCAGGGTCCTGGGATCCAGCCCCATATGGGGCTCCCGGCTCAGTGGGGAGTCCGCTTCTCCGTCTCCCTCTGAGCCTCCCCCTGCTCCTGCTCTCTCTTTCTCTTATACTCTCTCGCAAAAATAAATAAATAAAATCTTAAAAAATAATAAAATAAAATGTGGTAAAGGCAAAATAAATGATTTTCCTTATAAATTTGACAATACTTTTTTGAAATTTTTAGAATTTAAGTTCTTGGAAGGCAAATCTAGCAGCTAAAACAGTGCTGTTTAATAAATGCTTTTATTTAAAGTTATAATTCCTTTATTTTGACAATGTTGTCAGGTTGTTATATGTATATTTATATACACAGACATTCATACCCTTGGTTTTGCTTTTCAACTTGAAGAGAGTTACCTCTTTTGGTTCTTTTACTTCTACTCTTATCTTTCTTCTGAATATTTTCACTTTCTGGTCTTCAAACTGAGAACATTCTCCTTTTTTTCCATTTCCTGAATAATTTCAATCACATTGCTATGAAGAGGCTATCTGCAATGTTTAGCTCCTACTTTTCTTTATCCTTGATCTCTTAGCCAAATCCAGCTTCTCACAGTACCTTTTTCATGCTGGAAGTGATAGAATTATTTTTTTTCTTTTATCTCCAAACCGTCCAGGATTTCCGTCATTATTAGTTGAAATATAATCACTTCCTCTCTCCTCCTCATTCCCATTCTCTTTTCCCCAGCACCTCCTCTTTCATAATATTGTCTGGATTTTCTTATTTCTATTTCTTAAATTCTTCCATTCATACCAGATTTTTTTTTCATATCAGATCAGTTTTTTTCTTTGTAATCTGTACATGTTACCATTGCCAAAATCTTCCTTGATACTTTACCTCCACTATCAAAACCCTCTGTCAGGTTGCTAATTGATATTATATAATGCATTTGTGACCCCTGTTTTTATTTTTTATTGATTCTTACATTTACTCTCTTACCCTTTCCTTTCAGCTGAGCCAAATTTCTCTTTATATCTCTATTCTACCGCCTAATCTTCTAATTTACCTCCCTCAGTGCTCATAATAACTTCCTATCACACATCTGCCAACCTACCTATATTCTCATTCAAAGCTTGCTTGTAATCTTAACTCCTTTTAAGTGAGTAAAGAAAGGAAAATAGCCAAAAGCCTACTTTGTAATTGGTTTGAATTTTTTCTCAAATCTGTATGCTAAATTAAAAATACCTTATAAAACAACACCAACACTCAACCAATCAAAGCTTCCAGGAAAGGAAAGCAGTTTTATATATTTCAGTCATCTCATTGAAATTTTGCTCCTGTTGTGCCCAGCAACATGTTGAAAGTTAGGGGGGATACAAACCCAGAAGTAGAAGACATGATTATTGTCCTCTGAGAGCTAATATTCTAGGTAAAGAGACAATACGTGAAGTGTTTAGAAAGTAGCTATAATAACTAGCCTAATAATCAAAATGCTAGGTTGTATTGTACAGACTTCAAGTGTTCAAAGTAATCAGGGAAAAGAGAAAGCATTATTACTTGGGGTTGCTAGTAAAGATTTTATGTGGGAAGTGGGTCTTGAGGAAAATGTAGAATCTGGATTCGCGGACTGAGCTAGAAGACTTGGATTAACATGCATAGGTAAAAAGAGAATTGCTTAGCAAAGACTCTAACAGAGGAATTAGTTGATTGTTAAAGCAGCAAACTTTATTCTAGGGAGGAGTAGGAAATATAATCAGATAATTACATTGGAACTAATAGATCAAAAGCCTTGAATTCAAATTGAGGAATTAAAAATTGTTAAAAAGAAAATCCCCTTCCTATACATTTTAGTTAATCAACGTTTTACCTTGTTTAAATATCCAAGATTTGTTAACATTGAGTGCTTTATTATATGGTAAGCATTGTTCTAATTTTTATATGTAATAATAGCTCATTTCATCTTTTTAACAACCCTTTGTGGTAGGTTCTATTTTAACCCCCTTATTTTACAAATGAAGAAGAAAAAATAAGTACAGCTGGTTCAATTTGGCACTAGTGACAAGAACCAGTATTAAAGTCTAGTAGATCTCTGGTACCAGCATCTACATTCTTATCTGCTATATACACAACCTTATAAAGGATATATATAAGTGCTGTAAATATATAGTGAGATTTGGACAATTGAACCTGACTTATTTTTTATTGAACGATAATTTTCTCAAGCACTACTCATGTTGGAGCATAGTAATCTCTTCATCCTGAATATATTTTTTCTTTAAGAAAATCTTTATAAGGAAACTTTGGGCTAGAAATTTTAAAAAAGATTAATCCATTGGTTGTTCTTCAGATGAAGTGATATTGGTTTTATGTTTTGTAAAATATTTCAATGGTCTCTTTATTACAACAGGGCTTCTGGTTGGGACTCTTGATTCAGTTTTAGACTCTACTGCTAAAGTTGCTCCATTTCGCATCCTACACCAGACACCAGATTCTCAAGTTTACCTGTCAATTGCATGTGGTGAGTACGATTTTTAAAATGTATAATCCAGGGGCACCTGGGTGGCTCATTCCTTAGGCGTCTGCCTTCGGCTCAGGTCATGGTCCCAGGGTCCTGGGATCGAGCCCCACATCAAGCTCTCTGCTCAGCGGGAGGCCTGCTTCTCCCTCTCCCACTCCCCCTGCTTGTGTTCCCTCTCTCGCTGTGTCTCTTTCTGTCAAATGGAGAGGTGAAATCTTAAATAAATAAATAAATAAATAAATAAATAAATAAATAAATAAAATGTATAATCTATTCTATAGTGGTTTGCCATTAGGGTATTCATTCAGATAATCTTTTCCTACTAGGAATTACAAACTTTAAACACTTTTTAAACCTTAAAAATATTTAAAAACATATTAAAAGGGTGTGTTAGTCCCTACATTTTTCTTTACTAATCATTTCAGTTTTTTTCCTTTGGATTAATTGGGCAAGGAAGATACTTCAGTGTGGAAGATTTATTGCTCAGTTTGAATGAAATAAAGGTTTATTGGTGGGAGGCAAATACAACATTTAAATAGATGAAGTTTGAGTTGGAGATACAGTTCTGAGACATTTTGACTTGTCTTTTTAAATGCTTTATTTTTTAAACACAATTTATTTGGATAAAACCATTGGGACCACCAGTATTGCAGTAGGACCTGGGTAGGGACCGGAAGTGCTCGGCAGGGCAGTAGCAACCTTACTCCTTTTATATAGTGTGCACCCTGTGCAGATGCATTTAAATCTTACACTGTGGTGAAGGGATGATTTTTACAATGCTGCAGTAGAATTGGATTACTAAACTGTGTTCTTGTCTGATATAGACAATAAATGTTTGCATTATTTCCACATAGGGGGAAAAATGTATAATCCAAACAAATAAGGATACTAAGAAATTGAATATTTACATTTATTTATACTCCCTAGTTTTGATTTAGAAAGGAGTTAAATGTGTAACTCTACATTGAGAGAATAGCAAGACATCTAATTGTTTAGGGAAGAAGGATTACAAATTATTACAATTTTTTTAAAAATCCATTAGTGTGAAGGACCTGAAACATGTGTTCCAGCAAATTTTGAGCAAACTTTGGTCAGCACTACTGCTATATGATTCCTTTCTTCAACTTACATCTGCTTCACCCAACTGCTGAGAAGATGAGAACTCCTCACACTTCATCTGTAGTAACTCAGATTAGGGGAATCAAGCCCAAAACTAAAGATTGTCCCCTAAGAAAGTATAAGCCTGAAAAATTGAAACATTTTTAGTTACACACCTACTTTCTCACAAAAGGCATTATATCCTTGAAATAAGAAGAGATGTCTTACTGGTAATGCTACATATTCATTCATGCTGAGGTAGTTCAGATGCCTCCATATATATATATATATATATATATACACACATTGTAGATAGAAAATGAATTAGGATATTCTTCCTGATAAAACAACTCAAGATTTTAAAAAAAACCCACAATGACAGTTTACTTCTTTTATGATGCCATTATAATGTTCTAAATTAAAAACCTGGATTTCTGGCCTTTTTAATGTTGAAAAACTGCCTTTTTCTCTTTCTTTCATCTCCCCCTCTCTTAAGTAGAGAGATACACTTAAAAAAAAAAAGCATGTGAATTCCTGGATAGTTCATATGTGTGAACATACAGCATACCATGAATTTTTAAAGATATGTGGCTTATCTTTTGTAGCTCCCTACATTTTTACTTTAGCATTGCCAGTGAGTGTTTTCTCTTGGCTCTCTTAAATTGAATGCCATCTAAACTAAATGAAGAAAACATTATAGCTGCTGATGTTATGAGACATTTGTAACCTCAACTCTAAATCTGGTTGGTAGAAATTATTTAGGGAAAAATATCCATTCTACTTTAAAGAGGGGGGATTATTATATAACTTATTCTCCCAAATTAACATGATGCAGAAATATAATAATTACCAACTTGAAGCTTCCTTATACATAAAGGACCAAAATAAGGGCTTAAAATTTTCCCATGGCTTTTATTTGTGATTCATTAAAAAAGTTATTACACTTGGTATTGTGACTTTAGTAACATGAATACAATTTTTAACTGGATTATAAGAAATAGGCAGTTTTGCAATTTCAGTTAATATATCACTTGCATGTATCATAAAACATACTAAGGAGCCAAATGTGTCTTTTGAATGATATTTTTTATAATCCACAAAGCTGGGGAGGTCTTAAAGGTATCTTAAAGGTAAAGATCTTAAAGATCTTTTATAATCCGCAATGCTGGGGAGATCTTACAGGCTTTAAGATCTTAAAGTTCTTCAAGCCAAAGCAACCCAGAGCTAACTGTAATATTTGACCCTCAACAAGCTACCTAACACTGATCCAGCAGGTCACATAGATTTACTTGCTACAGGGTTTCTAACCTCTTTGCTGAAACTTCTTTAGGTTAACAAGGCCTTTTAATGAAAAGGGTGACTGAGCAAAGGCTTCACCTTCTAAGATAAGTAGAGTTGCCACAGTTGAAATCCACATTTATACAGTGTGCATAGTATTGTCATGTGCAGGCTGTTTGCAGTCACACAGATTATAGGGACAGTACTGACTGTATTACTTGAAGACCATGGATTAAATTGTATATTTATGTTCTGGCACTCTATATATTCTCTTAAAAAATATTGGTTGCTGTAGGCACCAGTTACTGGCATCTTGTTTTCAGAATTTTATATCTTTTGTCATGAGTTGTATTTACTTTCCCCCCTTTCATTAAATATTTTAGTCTTTCATTTATAATAAAAAATAGTATTTATCCCTACATATACAGATGAAGTAGAGAATAAGTGTAATTAATATCTTTATTCTTTTATGATCATCATTTCTGAAAATGAGCAAATATAATTTTATTTCTTTTTAAACTAAGCTTGTAAATATCAAGAGCAGTTTTGTTGTGGAGTTTTCCTTGAGTCTTTTATTCTCTTTCATTATTAATTAGGAGCCAACAGAGAAGAAATAACCAAACATTGGGATTGGTTGGAACAAAATATCATGAAGACCTTATCTGTGTTTGATTCAAATGAAGATATTACTAATTTTGTACAAGGAAAGATAAGAGTAAGTGATGGATTTATTTTGTAGATGGAATACTATATCTTTGACCCTCTTATTTTAGGATCAAAGGCCATGTGGGAAGGTCATTGTTTTACTGACACCTTTCAGGATTGGCAGAAGTACACATATGAATGTCAGAATCAGTGCTAAAGAAAATTATGAAGTCAATGATTAGTTTTTGGTGCCCTTGTGAGTGCTCTTAGGGATATTTTCATTTCAGTATTTCATGAGTTTGGAATTTGGATGAATCCTTCACTCAATCAAAAAAAATATTTAGCAACTTCAGTCCTGGGTTTCGGCACCAAAAAAACCCCCAAAAAACAAAAAACAAAATATTTAGCACCTATGCTTGTGGTAGCTCCTTGTGAGGCATTAGAAAAAGCCTTATTACAAAATTAAAGAAAATTTGCTCACCTCTGTCCTAAGAGAAGCATTTATGTACACACATTTATACATATATATAGCTTGTAGATATATACAGTTGTATTCAGTGAACTGTTTAAGTATATAAAATGTATTTTTATTAGTAGGTAATAATTGTCAAAAAATATTTTGTCTCCTTTAGGGATTGATTGCTGAAGAGGGAAAACATTCTTTTGCAAAAGAAGATGATCCTGAGAAATTTCGAGAAGCCCTTTTGAAATTTGAAAAATGTTTTGGTTTACCAGAGCAGGAGAAGTTAGTGACCTATTACTCATGCAGTTATTGGAAAGGACGGGTTCCTTGTCAGGGATGGCTCTATCTTAGCACCAACTTTCTGAGCTTCTATTCTTTTTTGTTGGGATCAGAAAGTAAGTGGCTTCTGTTGCTTACCATGACTTTGAACTTGCTGACTGACCTGTCAACTCTGTGGGGTTGTTAGGTTGTATATAAAGCAATAGGATTGATATTAAGAGTAATTAAACTGTACATTAAAAAGTTCACTTCATCTAGAGAAAGAATCCTTAACATAGGAGCCATTGAAAGTATATATAGAATGCCTTGCATATTGTGGGAAGTGAGTGAATATTAAAAATGATGATGGTGACCTGGCACATAGCTCCTTTCTTTGTCTTGTTCTAAACCATAGACTCTGCAATTCATGTTTTAATCCTTGTTTTAGAAATACAGTATAAAAACAGTAGCCATAGTATCTAATGGCCCACAGTTATAAAGAAGAATCAAACAGTAATGTTCAGAGCACACATATAGCTTTTACATCAGTGATTATGCAATTATGTAAAGTAACAGATTTAAATATAAAAGCAGAATAATTTTTTAAAAATTCTTTAAAATTGTATCTGTTCCTAGAACCACCAATTATTTTATGTTCATGGTTATGCTTCAAAATTTTAACTAATCTTGTAGTCTAAAGTATTTTAGTTGTTCATAGCATTTTTCAAGTGGTTAACTATTGTTTTAAAAGACCTGATTGATAAACGTTAATCAGTATTGAGAAATTTAATCATATCTGCTTATAATTCTTATTTGCAGTAAAACTCATTATCTCCTGGGATGCAGTCTCAAAACTTGAAAAGACTTCAAATGTTATACTAACAGAGAGTATTCATGTGTGTTCCCAAGGGGAGAATCACTACTTTTCAATGTTTTTGCATATTAATGAAACATACCTTCTTATGGAACAGCTGGCAAACTATGCTATAAAGAGACTTTTTGATAAGGAAACATTTGCTAATGACCCAATCCTTGATGATCCTCTACAAATCACCAAGAGGTATTCAAAGCTTAATTAATACTTTTCAAAATACTGTTTTACCAAAGAACAGTAACATTGATTATCATTAAAAGTTAACTGTTCTGTGTTATATGATAATTTTTCTTTGGAATTAATCATTGATGTGTGGGGTATTTTTTAGTTTATTCATATGCATTTCACAAATAGTATTCCCTCCATTAAGTTTAATCCTAAGAAGTAATAGAAGTTAAGTTTGGAAATTACTTACTGAGATCCCAGTAGGATTTGCCCTGGAGTGCTTTTAGAAATATAGAGATTTTTATACGCCTGGTTAGTCTACATTTCTCTATGAGTAGTCTAAACAGTTTCAGGTATGATATTGTAAAATGTATTGTTTATTTTTAAATATAATTTGTAGACAGCATCATTTTTTTAAAGATTTTCTTTATGTATTTGGGGGGGAGGGGCAGGAAGAGGGACAAGCAGGCTCCGTACTGAGCGCGGAGCCCCACTTGGGGCTCAATCTCACAACCCTGAGATCATGAGCTAAGCTGAAATCACGAGTCAGCCACTTAACCAACTGAGCCACCCAGGGGCCCCTAGACAGCATAATTTTTTATGAAGAGGCAAGTTAGTGGAGCCAGTGGAGCATGGGCTTTATAAGGAGAGTACAACAATGCTTGGACAAGTCATTATCTCTCAGGACCTTAGTATCCTCATGTATCATTTCTACCTCAGAGAGCACTTGTGAGGAATGAACACTCTAACGTGTGAAAGCACTTTGTAAACATATGAAACACTAGATAAATGTTAATCATTATTAATGCCTACATGAGAAGTATCTCTGATAGCTGTTTGCTTCTCTATTTGGTTTGCTGAAACTGACCAGAGCCCTTTCATACTGCTCAACACTCAGAACAGTTGACTGAAACAAGCATGCCAAAGGAGAGGGAAAGAAGAGAGGATCTAGAAATAGCTAATGAATGCAGCTTCTGGCAAGGAGCATGAGGGTATAGACTGTACGGGAAACTATGAGAGGAACCTAAGCCGCAGTCCTATGGATAGACCAGAACAAGTGACCTAGAGGGTTGTGTGATTACTACATAGCCCTAACTGGATATGGTTGTTCCATTTGCCTATTTCTAACCATTTCTAAAATCTGTATACGTAAGGACTTCTTTGTGAGTGTGTCTGCTTTTCTGGAAAATAGATCAGCAAGGTGAATTTTTTCTATGTCCCAGTATGCATGATTTATAAATAGAACTCTATAAGGATTAGGAATTCAGTTTATGTTATATTATAGTTGAGCATTTGTTTTTGTAGTTTGTTCCTTGATTGGCCACCATAAACATAAACTTTTTAGCCATTTTATTTCCCTTAGAATATCCTCTAAAAAGCCATCTATCAATGAGTTATTCATTACCAAGTCTGTATTTAAATGATATAGGAAATCCATTTTTGTCTATGTGTATTTTTTTTTAAAGATTTTATTTATTTATTTGACAGAGAGAGACACAGCAAGAGAGGGAACACAAGCAGGGGGAGTGGGAGAGGGAGAAGCAGGCTTCCTGAAGAGCAGGGAGCCCGATGCGGGGCTCGATCCCAGGACTCTGAGATTATGACCTGAGCCGAAGGCAGACGCTTAATGACTGAGCCACCCAGGCGCCCCTGTCTATGTGTATTTTTAAGAGAGCCTACTGAAAATCATAGATATCTAAATCCTTTTTTCTAGTAAGTTAAAAAGAACAATAGATTATTTAGACTTAGCCTCCAAATGACTTTTTTCTAAAAATTGAGTATCTTTATTGCTTCGGCTTATTGTTTTTACAAATACGTATTACTTCTATAATTTAAACAGTATAGAAGCACATTAGCAATAGTTTCGGTGTATATCCTTCCAGACTTTTTAATGCATTAATTAAAAAGTATTTGCAAAAAACATGATTGGGACTAAACATTACATATTATTCCATAGTCTGCTGTTTTCCCCCCTTAAAATAATATATCATGGACATCTTTTCATTTATATAAATAGACCTCATCTTTTAAAATAATAATAACCCACCAAATTATACTTTAAGTGAGGTAAAATTAATGTGCTTTTCTGTTCATCAGAATTATTTTGAAAGACATGATAAAATGCCACATATTCAAATAGTATATGCTGGGAGGATGAATTTGGTTTTAACTTTGTTGGCTTTGAGTTAGAACTTGCATAATTTACTTACTACCCCAGATGGCATTGCTGCTTAACACAAGTGTTTACTGCCTCTAGAAAAATTGTACTATTTTAAGCAATTGTTTTTTATTCATATATTTACATACCAGTTAACAAGTCATCTTTATTTCTTGATGCCTATCCTGTGCCCAATACTGTGCAAGCAGTGTTGTTTTATTTTGCTTCTAGTATGGATTTTTTTAAATGTTCATTTAAGTGTTTGTTTCCCTTAATTTTAATATTATCTTTTATGTACTGTTCTTCTTGTCTAAATTTTGATCCCATAAATTTTCATTTTTAATTTTTCTCTTTTTTATTTTTCATTTTTATTTTGTTTGAACTGGGTGACTTGATTTTCTGATAACTACATATAAAAATTGTTTGCCAATATTGGTGCTAGCCATATTTGCATATTATGAATATATAATAATATAATAATAATCTTCCAGCAAATCACCCCTTGACAGATGGTTTAAAGTCCTACATCATCTCTAACTTTTGTGCATTGTAATTTAGTAATAAAACAAAATTGGACTGGGAACAAAGAAAATGAATTTGTTATGAATCCGTGTGTTTCTTCCATTACATAATTTGTTGAAGAACATAGCATGTAATATTTCTCTTTCTGCTTTGGAGTACATTTAGATTAGTCAATATGGGCATGTGTGTACTTTAGAAGTCATTATTTGAGCCCTCTTTTTTCTTTTCTACAGAGGTCTGGAAAATCGAGCCCACAGTGAGCAGTTTAATGCTTTTTTTAGGCTCCCCAAAGAAGAGACTTTGAAAGAAGTACATGAATGTTTCTTATGGGTACCATTCAGCCACTTTAATACTCATGGAAAAATGTGCATCTCAGAAAACTATATCTGCTTTGCTAGCCAGGATGGCAATCTATGTTGTGTAATCATTCCATTACGAGAGGTAATACAAATTTGGTTACATATCAATTTTAGTTTGAAAATGCTATCATTCACAGAATAAAATATCATTTAATTCTGTAAATTATTGAAAACTCTAGGACGCCTGGGTGGCTCAGTTGGTTAAGCGACTGCCTTCGGCTCAGGTCATGATCCTGGAGTCCCGGGATCGAGTCCCACATCGGGCTCCCTGCTCAGCAGGGAGTCTGCTTCTCCCTCTGACACTCTTCCCTCTCGTGCTATCTCTCATTCTCTCTCTCTCAAATAAATAAAAATCTTAAAAAAAAAAAAGAAAACTCTATATGCACCACCCTTTTAGTAATTTTTAAGAATCTTTTTTTTTTTTTTGAGAGAGAGAGAACACATACGAGCAAGTGGGGGCCGAGGAAGGAGGGGCAGAAGGAGAGAGAGAATCCCAAGCAGGCTCCATACCCAGTGTGGAGCCCAATACAGGGCTCCATCTCACAGCCCCGAGATCATGACCTGAGCCAAAATCAAGAGTCAAACACTTAACCAACTGAGCCACCCAGTTGCCCCAATAATCATTTTTTAAGTTCAGTATTATTCTTCAGGGTAAGAGTACTAGGATAAGAGCATTATAGCTCTCATTAAAAGTGAAAATAGAAAAAAATTAAAAATTTACAAACCAGATAAGGTTCAGGATGACTCAAGATGGAGCATGATTGCCCAGACATTTATAACATGAATACCAAGACTTAGACTATTATATTTGATACACACAGTCAAAAAGAATATAATTGGTAGCTTTTATGTAAGTTAGAAATAAATTGTCAGCATTGTAGCCCTGAATTTTTACATTTATATTGTCATTTTTTAAGGCTACATGTTAATTAAACCTTTTTCTTGAGAAGTGAAATAACTTGCACTGAGTTTACTTGTGTCAGTGGTGCAACTAGTACCCAAAGTCTATTTCTTAATAAGTCATACCATGGACCAAAGCTTTAGCCACAAAAGATTAAGCTAAACATATTTTGCCCGAAAACGTCAGCAACAAGGGAGAATGGGATTCATTTATGTTTTCACCCCCCAGGTCTTAGCTATAGATAAGACAAATGATTCCAGCAAATCTGTCATCATTAGCATCAAAGGAAAAACAGCTTTTCGCTTCAGTGAAGTTAAAGACTTTGAGCAGCTGGTGGCAAAACTCAGACTCAAGTATGGGGCAGCTTCAACTCAGTATCACGATGTTAGCACAGAGGTAATTATATAGCAATCAAATCATTTTTTTTTAAAGTTTGTTTCATGTGCTCCATTCTTTCAAAGGGAACTCATAGTACTTTTTCTATTCATGCTTAGGTTTATTTTTTTTAAAGACTAAAACCAAAGAAATTACATTCTCTAAGCCACATTATAAAGCAGAAGTGAGAATTAAGAACTTTATCCTTTTTTAGGAACTCATATTTTAAAAATTATTATCATTTGATCCTTCTTGACTATATCTGCAGTATCTCAGATATATACATCTTGTACTTTCATGTGACATGGCTTTTAATAACTCAAACTATATTTGAGAATTTAATAAGGCCTTAAAAAAAGGACTCTCCTCTGACTGCTGTAGAGAGACAGCAATTTTAAACCAGTCTAAATATCTTTTATTTAATATCGAGTAGTCCAGCCTCACTTACATAATATAGCCCAGAGCAAAATAGTGGCAAAGCTATTTACTAGTAAAATATTAGACAAGGCAAATATTCTTGGCGAAGGGTGCTTAAGAGACTGATTTTGATATTTAGTGTGTCCTTTACGTAAATGTAGATACTTTCAATTCAAATTAATTTTCATTTTCAATGCCCAGGAAACTCATGTTTTAATAGAGTGATAAAACTTACCACATTTTAACTATTGTATTTTAATTAAAAATTCAAAGAAAAAATCAACATTGGCTTTATTGGCTATATTATTTGGATAGGATTATAGCAGCTTTTACCTCTCCAGAGTAGAGACTAAAAATATTATGCTAAGTCAATTATAATGCAGTATTGATAAAACTAGCTTTTTCCTTGATATTAGAAAAACATAATGAAAACATGTAATTAAAAGATACATATATCTCTGTTCCAGACCCAGAATCTTCATGTTAACCATCAAAAATTTTCATGCCCCAACTTTATAATCTTTCATTCTCTTCAGGTGTGCACCCAGGATATTCCTTAGTTTGATGTTGAGGACACAGGTAAAACCTGATCAGTCCTGGTAGTTTCTCTCGCAGTGCTTCCATATTCTTGCTTATATCACTTTTTTTCCTGTCCTATTCCATTTCAGATTCATTCTCTCTGTTAAATTTAATGCTCTGCTTCTCTTTCTTTCTCCTTCAATTTATCTGTGTCTCTTAAACCCGAAAAACTGGAATTTTCCCCCCAAAATTCTCAGGTGCCTCTAGTAGTTGGGTATGATCAGTTCTGAGAAAAGATTTTGTCTCAAAATGAGTTTATCATCTTTTCAGATGTATGTCGGAGTTCTAAGGTTTTCTAGTTTCTCTTCCCATTTTTAAAGGTTTTAGTAAAGGTATATGCAAAATACCAGTCAGTATACTGGTTTGCTAGGAATTTTTTTTTTAAAGTGTACCCTTTAATCCCCATTCCCTATTTGCCCCATCTACCACCTACCTCCCCTCTGGTAACCATCAATTTATTCTGTATTGCCAAGAGTCCATTTCTTGGTTTGTCTCTCTCTTCTTTTTTCCTTTGCTCACTTGTTTTGTTTCTTAAATTCCACATTATGAGTGAGATCATATGGTATTTGTCTTTCTCTGGCTGACTTACTTCGCTTCTCATTATACTCTCTAGCTCTATCCATGTTGTTGCAAATGGCAAGGTTTCATTCGTTTTTATGGCTGAATAATATATATATATATATATATACACACATATATACCGCACCTTCTTTATCCATGTACCTATCCAAGGACACTTGGGCTGCTTCTGTAGTTTGGCTATTGTAAATAATGCTGCAATAAACATAGAGGTGCATGTATCCATTTGAATTAGTGTTTTTGTATTGGTAGGATAGTTCTATTTTTAACTTTTTGAGGAAACTCCATACTGTTTTACAGAGTGGCTGCACCAGTTTGTATTCCCACCATCAGTGCAAGAGGGTTTCTTTTTCCTGCACATCCTCGCCAACACCTCTTTCTGGTGTTGGTGATTTTAGCCATTCTGACAGGTGTGAGGTGGTATCTCATTGTAGTTTTGATTTGCATTTCCCTGATGAGTGATGTTGAGCATCTTTTCATGTGTCTGTTGGCCATCTGGATGTCTTCTTTGGAGAAATGTCTGTTCATGTCTTCTGCCCATTTTTAAGTTGGATTATTTGTTTTGTGGGTATTGAGTTGTTTCAGTTTTTTATATATTTTGGATACTAACCCTTTGTCAGATATGTCATCTGCAACTATCTTCTGCCATTCAGTAGGTTGCCTTTTAGTTTTGTTTATTGTTTCCTTCACTGTGCAGAAACTTTTTATTTTGATGCAATCCCAATATTTATTTTTGCTTTTGTTTCCCTTGCCTTAGGAGACATATCTATAAAAATGTTGCCTCAGCTGATGTGAGAGATGTTACTGCCTATGCTCTCTTTGATGATTTGTTATGGTTTCAGGTCTTACATTTAGATCTTTAATCCATTTTAAGTTTATTTTTGTGTATGGTGTAAGGAAGTGGTCCAGTTTCACTCTTTTGCATGTGGCCATCCAGTTTTCCCAACACTATTTGTTGAAGAGACTGTCTTTTTCTCATTGGATATTCATTCCTCCTTTGTCAAAGATTAATTGACCATATAATTGTGGGTTTATTTCTGGGTTTTCTGTTCTATTCCATTGATCTGTGTGTCTATACCAGTACAATGCTGTTTTAATTACTACCGTTTTGTAATGTAACTTGGAATCTAGAATTATGATACCTCCAGTTTTGTTTTTCCTTTTCAAGATTGCTTTGGCTATTTAAGTCTTTTGTGTTTCCATGCACATTTTAGGATTATTTGTTCTAGTTCTGTGAAAAATGCTGTTGGAATTTTGATAGGGATTGCATTAAATGTGTAGATTGCTTTGGGTAATAAAGACATTTTTACAATATTTGTTCTTCCAACTCATGAGCATGGAATGTCTTTCCAGTTTTTTGTGTTATCTTGAATTTCTTTCATCTGTGTTTTATAGTTTTCAGAGTACAGGTCTTTCACCTTTTTGGTTAAGTTTATTCCTACTTTATTGTTTTTGTTGCAGTTGTAAATGGGATTGTGTTCTTAATTTCACTTTCTGCTGCTTCATTGTTAGTGTATAATAATGAAGCAGATTTCTGTACATTGATTTTGTATTCTGCAACTTTACTGAATTCATTTATCAGTTCTAGTAGTTTTTTGGTAGAGTGTTCAGGGTTTTCTGTATACAAAATCATTTTATCAGCAGAGACAGTTTTACTTCTTCCTTTCCTATTTGGATGTATTTTATTTCTTTATCTTGACTGATGGCTCTAGCTAGGACTTGTAGTTCTATGTTGAATGGGAGTGGTGAGAGTAGGCAGCCTCATCTTGTTCCTGATCTCAGGAAAAGCTTTCAACCTTTTACCTTGGAGTATGATGTTAGCTGTGGGCTTGTCATATATGGCCTTTATTATGTTGAAGTATGTTTCTTTTATACCCACTTTGTTGAGAGTTTTTATCATGAAAGGATATTGAATTTTGTCAAATGTTTTTTCTGCATCTATGGGTATGATCAGATTATTTTTATCCTTTATTCTATTCATGTGCTATATCACATTTATTGATTTGTATATGTTAAACCATCTTTGCCTCCCAGGGATAAGTCCCACTTGATCATGGTGTATGATCCTTGTAATGTGTTGTTGAATTTGATCTGCTAGTATGTTGTTGAGAATTTTTGCATCTGTATTCATTTGGATTTTGGCTTGTAATTTCTGGTAGTGTTCTTATTGGCTTTAGTATCAGGGACATGCTGGCCCTGAAAAATTAGTTTGGGAGTGTTCCCATCCCCTTCACTTTTTTGGAAGAATTTGAGAAGAATTGGCATTAATTCTTTAAATGTTTGGTATAATTCACCCATGAAGCCATCTGGTCCAGGGTTTTTCTCTGGTGGGAGGTTTTGGATTACAGATTCAGTGTACTTACGTGTTATTAGTAAGTTCAAATTTTCTATTTCTTTGTTTTGTTGATAGTTCATTTTTTTATTGCTGAAAAATATTTCATTATCTGGATATACCACAGTGTTTGTACATTCACCTCTTGATACCTTGTTTGCCTTCAATTTTTGGCAACAGTCAATAAAGTTGCCATAAACATTCACATGCGGATATGTATGTGTAGACATACCTTTTCAACTATTTGGGTATATACCTAGGAGCACAATTCCTGAATCATATAGTAAGGCTATGTTTTGCTTTCTAAGAAACTGCCAAACCATCTTACAAAGTGGCTGTACCATTTTGCATTTCCACCAGCAATGAATTAGAGTTCAAGTTCCATATCCTCAGCAGCAAGTACTTGTTACTGTCAGTGTTAGAGATTTTAGCCATTTTAATAGCCAATAGTATCTCATTGTTTTTTTAATTTGCAATTCCTCAATGATATAATATTGAGCATTTTTATACAATTATTTGTCATCTTTATATCTTCTTTGGTGAGGTCTCTATTCAAATCTTTTGCCCACTTTTTAACTTGGTCTTTTATTTTTTTAAAAACATAATTTCCTTTCATTCTTTTAATATATTTACAATAGCTACCTTACATTCTTAGTTTACAAAATCAACTGGACCTCTCAAAGCCATTTTCTATTGGTTGCTTTTTTTTTAATAGTTCCTGTTTTTATTTTTAAACCTGGCTTTCTTGGATTACCCCCATGAGTCAGGATAAGTTGGTGGTCAGCCAATGATGGGTCAGAAGAGCTCCTTAAATGCCTTGAACCATTAAGTTTTCGACTTTTTACCAAGGGAATCTTTATGTGAAGTTATACCTCAAATTTCAGGCAGTTTATAAATCAGCCTAGGTTTCATTGCTTACCTTCACAAAGTCAGCCAGAATTGAGTGACTGGGGCCTTCCACTGTCCCGTTTCTTTCCTGGGCAGTTTCATATCCCTGTACATGCATACATCCATCTACATCTCCAAGAATATGTTAGAATCTTTCAAAGTTCCCTGTGTTTATCTGGTTATCCAAATCTTCCTTTTAGATTTTTAGCCAGGCTCTTGTTTGCCCCAAACTGAAATCATAGCTTTAGGCAGCTGTGATTTTATCAGCAGATTACTATGGCCTTCTGTAATGCCCTGGGGATGGGGCTTTCTTCATTCACAGTCCTGAGCTCTGAATCAAATCAAATGATAACACCCTGGGAATGGAGATTTTCTAGGTAGCTCTTAGTTTGGTCAAAATACTGTGTTCTGGGGATGGGGATTTTAGTGATCCACCAAAAGATCCACTGGCTGTGTTAATGCAGGCTTTCATGGCTACCATTACCTCTGAGCTTGGGAGGGAGGGGTGATGAGAACAGCCCCAAGTCAAAACTTCACAGAATCTGGTGTTCCTACTACAGTTCATTAGTTTCACTTGTATCAATGCTTTTCAGTTCATTCTGTACCTTTGGTAAATTTCCAGTGCTCTGAACTGGTACTTTTTAAATCTTTTGCCAGTATTTTGTTGTTTTTGTAGGGGAGTGGGTTCACTGAAGTATGGGTCCTGAGTATGCTGTTCTAGATGTTGATTTGTTGACGTCTCTAATTTGGATAGAAAAACAATGTCTCTCTGAGACAGTGCTTTAATCTTTATTATGTAGATTGATTGTGGTTTATAAATGACAGATAAAGCATTAGCACTTTTTCTTCTTGCAGAAACTTTTAAGCATACATTTGGGACAATTACATTTTTTTCTTTTTCAGATTCCTATTAGTTCTGATTCTACAGACCCATCTGATAATACTGAAGTACGATCTTTGACATGTCAGAAAGAATGCAGTAAAACTGTGAACACTGAAGCCTTAATGACAGTATTTCACCCTCAGAATTTGGAGACTCTTAATTCCAAAATGGTAGGAAAACAAAATATTTAAATCTATGGACTGAAACAGTTGATCAAAAATAAAAATCTTAGAGCAGACTAGAAGGTATCACAACTGAAAACTCCTCTTTTGGTGGTTGAAAAGGTTTTCCAGCAGGTACTGTTGTGTGACTTGTTTCATTCAGTTACACAAAAGGGCTGTTAACAAACAAAAGGGCTGTTATCAAGAATTAAGATAAGCAATGAAAATTGAACATTGGGTTTTATTTCCATGGATTGTCAATAATCCTAAAATCAAGGTGATTGGGGAGAATGATGGTTCAAAGCTTTACCTCTGAAGTATGATGCTTTTCTCATTTTTATATGAGTTTAGGTAAGAATTAAAATAGCAAATTAAAGCTGTTATGCTCACATGGATTCGGAAGATTTGTGATGAGTGGTCCAGTGTTTGGCCCCTCTGTCAATACTGATTTTGACTTTCTGTGTTCTTGATTTCCATAGGTATTGTGTCACAGTGAAGAGAGTTTTCAAATTATTTGAAAGAAGTTAATTTCTCACCATGTTTACTTAGTTGATTTTTTGTTACAGTTGAAAGAAAAGATGAAGGAACAGTCATGGAACATCCTATTTGCAGAATGTGGGCGTGGTGTTAGCATGTTTCGGACCAAAAAGACTCGAGATCTGGTTGTAAGAGGGATTCCAGAGACCTTAAGAGGAGAGCTCTGGATGCTTTTTTCAGGTATTACATATATTCACTTTATTTTTTTCTTTTTTTTTAAAGATTGTATTTATTTATTTGACAGAGAGAACACAAGCAGGAGGAGCAGCAGAGGGAGAGGGAGAAGCAAGCTCCCCGTGGAGCAGGGAGCAAGTGCAATGTGGGGCTCAATCCCAGGACCCTGGGATCATGACCCCAGCCAAAGGCAGTCCCTTAACCAACTGAGCCACCCAAGCGCCCCATATATTCACTTTATTAACAGACAGTAGCTATGCCCCTTCTAGAAGTTATGCACTAAGTAAGAATAATTACAGAGATGGCTAGAACAAAGACATTCATCATGAGTTCAGATTAGTCAAAGAGAATAAGGTAGTTCCATGTATTTACCTGTATATCCACACATCTACTGTATGAGCAAATTAGTTTATTAGGCAAGATATGGCTAATTGGAGGTATCTCTATCTCCAGTGTCAAAGGAAAGTTAAGGGATAAAAACAGTTCATGAAAATTCTATTGGATAAAATTGGTATCCTGATATTATAGATTCTAGTGAAGCCTTTTCTTTTGTTTGTACTAGGACATTACTTGAGTATAAAGCTAAATTTAAAGTAATCCAAATCTTTATGTATATATGCAAATATATAAATAGATTTATTACATTCCTCTTCTTTTGTATGTTAATGCAATCATCTGCACAGGTGCTGTTAATGACATGGCTGCTAATCCTGGCTATTATGCTGAAGTGGTTGAGCAGTCCTTAGGGACCTGCAACTTGGCTACTGAAGAAATTGAACGTGATTTGCGTCGCTCCCTGCCTGAACACCCAGCCTTTCAGAGTGACACTGGCATATCTGCTCTGAGGCGGGTACTCACTGCTTATGCATATAGGAATCCCAAAATTGGATACTGCCAGGTATGGCTTCGTTATGAACCCATCTCTATGCATGTTCCAAATGGTAAAATTAAATAGAGCTCCATTAATTTGAAAGTTACGATAAGAAAGACAGAAGTTGGGCTGAGATTGATATAGGGGGTATTTTTAAGTAGGATGGTAGTGGGAATACTTAAGAGAATTGATATTACTTCATTTTTCTTGTACATTTAACAAATATTTATTGACTTCCTGCTCTATAAAAGATACTGTGCTAGGTGCTTAAGACATATAAAGATGAATCATATAAGGATCCTGCCCTTGAAAGTATACAGATGAGTAAGTATTAAAACATATTCATTAGCAAATAAAAATGAGTGGGGCAAATTATTAGAGAAATATAAAGTTCTATTAAGATTTATAATAGGGATAAATTAATTTCATCTGGAGGAATCAGAAATGGCTTCATGGAAGAGGTAGCATTTGTAGGTCTTGATAATTGGTGAATTTTGGGTGTATGGAGATGGAATGAAAGAATGTTCTAGGTAAAGGGATCAGTGTAACAAAACACAGGGAGGTAAACATGGAATATATATAGAATCATGTTTTGTTCAGTAGAAATGTAGGGTGAATGAAGCGAAGTAAATAGAGAAAAAAATCAATAAGGTAGATTGGAATAGGTCAGGAGTTTGAATTCTATTTTGTAGGTAGTAGGGGAATCACTGAAAAAAATCCTTTAGGAGCACACTATATTAATTATGGATGCTAGACTGCTAACACAAATAATCTCAAACAGGTAATAGCTTAAACACAATAGAAGCTTCCTCAAAGGAATAAATAGAGAAGAGCAAGTATTTAAGTCAGTAGGCAGCTCTCCTTCATGAGATTATTCAGGGACTCAGGCTGACGGCAGGCCCTGTCATCTTCAAAACATGGCTTCCAAGATGTTATTTCATTGTCATTACCCTTCACAGGAATCAGGAGAGAGCATGGAGAAACAATTGTGGTAGATTTTATTGGCTTGTAGGCCTAGAACGTGTGTACATCACTTCATCCACATTATGTTGGAGGATCTTGGTCTTATGGCCACACCTATTTATAAAAAAGTCTGCAAAATAGAGTGTGACTGAGCACATATATGTCCAGATACTATGGAAGAAGGGGAGATTGGATTGTGGTGGATAGCTAGTACTCTCAGCCACACATTCCTTTATAATGAGCTGAGCACTCATAATGATTATGTATCAATCCTATCTACTCATTAATCTTATCAATAGAGAATTTTTTTGAAAAGCAATTTAAGTGAATGGATCACCTAAATTACAAGTATTTAGTGTATTTTAGGATCTTTGAGAGGTAAAAAAGAAGTGTAGTGCTTTTTTCCTCAAAGAACTAACATTGACAGAGTCTATGAAGTTATCTGTATGTAGGAGTATAGTGGCACCTTCAAAGTAGGTGGCACTTGCTTTTGAGAGAGGCTCCTGGGTGGCTCAGTCAGTTAGGCATCTGACTCGTGGTTTCAGCTCAGATCTTGATCTCAAGTTTGTGGCATTGGGCCCACGTTGGGCTCCAAGCTCAGCACAGGGTCTGCTTGAAATGCTCTCTCTCCCTCTCCCCTGCTCACACACACACACACACACACACACACACACACTCTCACACACTCTCTCTCTCTCTCTCACTCAATAAATAAATAAATAAATAAAACTCTCTAAAAGATGAGAGTAAGGTTAGAAACATGGAGGGCAAGAGGAAAGTTACTCTGAGTTAAGGTAATAATATAAGCAATACTGTTCAGGTGAGAATAAGCCTGCCATGGAGATCAGACTGGCTAGGTTCATGTTGGAATCAAGAATTAGGTTTGTGTGGGACAAGATCATGCAGAATCATTCAAGCCTGGGAAAAGTCTGAATTTGCTAAGCAAGTTTTACTGCTTTTGATCAAGAAGCCATGTGAGCCGTACTGACTCATTAGGACTGACTAGCTTGCTTATTTACTTTTCATTCTATCCTCCCTCCCTCCTTTCCTTCCAGCTATTTGATCTATTTTCTTCCTTTTCTTTCTTCCCTCCCTCTCTTTTGTCTTTCCTTTACTTTCCTTTAATCTATCTTGAGATAAAACTTGCATACCACAAACTTTATCCTTTAGTGTTTTTAGTATATTCACAATGTCATGCAAACACCATCACTACCTAATTCCAAAACACTTTCATCACCCCCAAAAGAAGCTCCATATCCATTGTTACTCCCCATTCACCCCACCCCCAACTCTAGGCAATCACTAATCTACTTTTCCACCTCTATGAATTTGCCTATTATGGACATTTTATGTAAATGGAATGATACAATATGTGGTCTTTTGTGTCTACTTTCTTTCACTTAGGTTCATCCATTTTGTGGCATGCATTAACACTTCATCCCTTGTATGGCTGAATAATGTTCCATTGTATGGATATGCCACATTTGTTTATTCAGTGGTTGATGGGCATTTTGTGTTATTTCAGTATTTTTGCTATTATGAATAATGCTGTCATGGATATTCATGTACAGCTTTATGTGTGGACATTGTTTTTTATTATTTTGGGTATATACCTAGAAGTGGCATTGCTGAGTTATATGCTCACTGTATGTTTAACATTTTGGGGCACTGCCAAACTATTTCCCAAAGAGACAGCACCATTTTATCTTCCCACCAGCAACGCGTACTGAGGGTTCCAATTTCTCACATCCTTGATAACACTTTTTATTGTCTTTTTGATTATAACCATTCTAGTGAATGTGAAGTGGTAGTTCATTGTGGTCTTGATTTCCATTTCCCTAATATGCTTATTGGCTATTTGTATGTCTTAGAAGAAATGGCTATTCAAATCCCTTGCTCATTGCCTGGGTGGCTCAGTTGTTTAAGTGACTGCCTTCAGCTCAGGTCATGATCCTGGAGTCCCAGGATCGAGTCCCGCATCAGGCTCCCTGCTTGGCAGGGAGTCTGCTTCTCCCTCTGACTCTCCCCCTCTCATGCTCTCTATCACTCTCTCTCTCAATAAATAAATAAAAATCTTTAAAAAAAAATCCCTTGCTCATTTGTAAAGTTGGGTTCTTTATCTTGTTATTGTTGAGTTTTAATGATTCTTTATATATTCTGGATACCAATCCCTTATCAGATATAATATTTGCAAATTTTTTCTCCTACCTTATATGTTGCCCTTTCACTTTCTTTTTTTTAAATAAAGATTTTATTTATTTATTTGCCAGAGAGAGAGAATGAGAGCGAGCGAGCACAAGCAGGGGGAGCAGCAGGTAGAGGGAGAAGCAGGCTCCCCGCTGAGCAAGGAGCCTGATGTGGGACTTGATCCCAGGGATCATGACTTGAATTGAAGGCAGATGCTTAACTGACTGAGCCACCCAGGCATCCCATCCTTTCACTTTCTTAGTGGCGTCCTTTAAAGCACAAAAGTTTTAATTTGTTTTAATTTAATCTAAGTTTTTTTTTTAAAGTTTTAATAATGTAGTCCAATCTATTTTTCTTTGTTGTATGTGCCTTTGATGTCCTATCTAAGAAGCCATTGCCTAATCCAAGCTTAAAAAGATTTACTCCTATGTTTTCTTCTGAGAGTTTTATAGTTTTGATGATTAAATTTAGGTCTCTGAGCTATTTTATGTTAATTTTTGTGTATGGTGTATGGAGAGAGTTCAGCTTCATTCCTTTACTTGTGGATAACCAGTTCCAGTGGTATTTGTTGAAGAAACTATTCTTTAACTCATTGAATCACCCTGGCACCCTTGTTGAAAATCAGTTGACCATAAATATTAGGGTTTATTTCTGGACTTGCAATTCTATCTCATTGATTTATATTTCTGTTCTTATGCTAGTATCACACTTTTTTTTTTTTAACTACAGCTGGGTAGTAACTTTTGAAATAAGGAAATGTGAGTCCTTTAACTTTATTCTTTTCCAAGATTGTTTTGGCTCTTTTGGGTTCCTTGCATTTCCACATGAATTTTAGGATTAGCTTGTTAATTTCTGGGAAGAAAAGAAAAAGCCAGCTGGGATTTTGATAGTCACTGTATTGAATCTGTAGATGAACTTGGGGAATACTATATATTAACAATATTAAGTCTTCTAATCCATGAGCACAGGATATCTATCCCATTTATTTAGTTCTTTTTAAATCTCATTCAAAGTTGTTTTATAGTTTTCTACTGCCTAAGCCTTGTACTTCTTTCTTAATTTTATTTCTAAATATTTTATTCTTTTTGATATAGTAAATAGAATTGTTTTCTTGATTTAATTTTTGGATTGTTCACTGCCACTATATAGAAATAAGATTGATTTTTATATATACTGATCTTGTATACTGCAATCTTGCTGAGCTTATTAAGTTGTAGCAGATTTTTTTGTGGATTACTTAGAATTTTCTACATATAAAACCATAGAATCTGAAAGGTGATATTTTTACTTCTTCCATTCCAATCAGGATATCTTTTTTTCCTTTTTCTTGACTAATTAACATGGCCATAACCTTCAGTACAGTGTTGAAGAGAGGTAGTGAGGATGCATATTCCTGTCTTACTATTTATCTTAGGGGGAAGCAATTAGTCTTTCATCATTAAGTATGATGTTAGCTGTGGGTTTTTTTTGTAGGTCCTCTATCAGGTTGAGGAAGTTCCCATATATTCCTAGTTTGTTGAGTGTTTTTATCATGAAAGGGTGTTGGATTTTGTTAAACAATTTTTCTTTGTCTATTGAGATAATCATGTGACTTTTTTCCCCTTTATTCTATTAGTATCCTGTATTACATTAGTTTATTTTCACATGTTGAATCACCTTGTATTTCCAAGATAAATCTCACTGGATCTTGGTGTATAATCCTTTTTATGTGTTATTGGGTTCAGTTTGCTAGTATTTTGTTTAGAATTTTTACATTTACATTGATAAAATATATCGATACATAGTTTTCTTGAGATACCTTTGGTTTTGGTATCAGGGCCTCATAGAATGAGCTGGGTAGTATTTATTCCTCTCCTGTTTTTTTGAAGAGTTTATAATGAATTAATGTTAATTTTTCTTTAAATGTTTGGTAGAATTTGCTAGTGAAGCCATCTGTTCCTAGAGTGTTCTTTGCAGGAAATTATTTCATTACTAATTCAGTCTCTACTTATTATAAGTCTATTCAGATTTTTCTATTTCTTCTTAATTTGGTCTCTGTAGTTTGTGTTTTTCTAGGATTTTATCCATTTTATCTAGATTATCTAATTTGTTATCATATTCCCTTATAATCCTTTTTATTTCTGTTAAGATTGGTAGTAATAGGGGTGCCTGGGTGGCTCAGTCATTAAGTATTAAGCTTCTGCCTTCAACTCAGGTCATGATCCCACGGTCCTGGGATCGAGCCCCACATCTGGCTCCCTGCTCCATGGGAAGCCTGCTTCACCCTCTCCTGCTCCCCCTGCTTGTGTTCCCTCTCTCACTATGTCTCTCTCTGTCAAATAAATAAACAAAATCTTTAAAAAAAAAGATTGGTAGTAATGTTCACTATTTTCTGATTTTAATAATTTGAGTCCTTTCTCTGCTTTTTATCTTTTTGGTTAGGCCCCTATGGATATCTCATTCCCCAGCTATTCATTTTAACCCTTTCTTAGCCTATTGTTTGGCCCAACTGTTATCCATTTCCTCAGCAAGCCACATACTTGTTCAATAACTGTCTCCAGTTGTTTCCAACAAACACTCTGGGGAAAATGCTCTTTGCTTACCCTGAACCCTGTGTTAGGTCAAATAAACACAGCCTTGTGAGTGGCGTCTTTCTGTGGAAACCACCAGACAGGTCAAATAATGACAATTATGTGGAAATGGGGCTCCTAAAGAGTTCTAGCCCCTATCTGTTCCCTAAGGTGGCTGTCTGCTAGGTATTTTTAATCACAATTGCTGAAATGTTGGTTTTTAAGACTACTATGAAGCTGAGGAGGGGGGCTGGGTATAGGGCAATTTAAAATGCCGAAGAGCTCACTTTTTTACTGAGATTCAGCCATTTTATTAAACAAATGCTTTCTGAATTACTCTAAGATTCTGGTTGATTTTCACAGTTCTGAAAAATTGATTCTGATAATATTCACCAGTGTTCTTGTTGCCTGTATAGAGGAGAGCATTTTCAGAGGGACTTACTCTGCCATTTTCACTGACATCCCCTCCCATTATGACTTCTTGAACAGGAAAATTGATGGAGTAAAAACTAAACTTGAGGGGTGCCTGGGTGACACAGTCAGTTGAGCGTCTGACTCTTGGTTTCAGCTCAGGTTGTAATCTCAGGGTCCTGAAATCAGCCCCACATTGGGCTCCACGCTCAGCAAGGAGTCTGCTTGAGATTGTCTCTATCATTCTCCCTCTGCCAAGCCACCCCCTCCCCTCCCACCTCACCCCCCCCCCCCGCCTGCCGCTCAGGCATGCTCTCTCTCTCTCTCTCAAATAAATAAATAAATCTTAAAAAAAAAAAACTGAACTTGAGGTCAAATACTGTGCCAGATCTGGCAAATAATCGACATCCTTAGTACACATATCTATAAGAAAAGTATTAAAATATAAAAATGAGCAATGAACATGAAAAGATTAGTCATAGAACCAAAAGTACAGATGGGTTAATAAAGCCAAAAAAAGAAAGTTCAGCCTCAAAGAAATTCAAATTAAAACCATAAAATACTATTTTCACTATCAAATCAACAAGGACAATTATAATTTTTACAATTCTCAGTAGTATTGGCAAAGAAGGAGTGAAATAAACATTCAAACACTATTGGTCAGAAATATAAATTGGTACAGTCTTTCTGGAATACAATTTGGCAATAATATCATGTTTAAAAATAGTATTCTTGGGGTGCCTGGGTGGCTTAGTCAGTTAGGTGCCTGCCCTCAGCTCGGATCATGATCTCAGAGTCTTGGGATTGAGCCCTGCATCCTGCTCCCTGCTTAGCAGGAAGCTGCTTCTCCCTCTGCCCCTCCCCCCCATTTGTGCTGTCTCTCCCTCCCTCCCTCTCTCTCTCTCAAATAATAAATAAAATCTTTAAAAATAAAAAATAAAAAAAATAAAAACAGCATTCTTTGACTGAATACTTTCATTGCTGTGTATCTTTCCTGAGAGAAGAGTAAAACATTTGGATGAAGATTTATATAAAAAGATGTTCCTTGCAATGTTATATATAATAGTGGAAAATTGGATCCAAACTAAATGTCCAACAGTAGTAGATTGGTTAAGTAATTTATAGTATATTCAATTTACTAGATTATTTCATAGTCATTAAATACACTGTTTGAGAAGAATTATTTAATGCGTTGAAAATGTATATATAATGTGATGCTAAGTGAAAAAATCAACAGTTTGTTCCAAATTTTAGAAGGTGAAAAAGGAAGGAAAATACACACACACACAAATACATCAACTTGTTAACAGTGGTGATCTCTGGGTAGGTAGGATACAGGAGATTTAATTTTCTTCACACATTTCCCTTCTTTCCAGATTCTATACATTAAGGTTTTATTCCTTTATAGTAAGTGCCGTGGCCGAATGTTATATAAAGGTAATGATCTGACATTTGTATGCAAGATAGATTAGAAGGAGAAGGTTGGGGTGGGATAGAGAGGATAAAGCAGATCTAAAAGACATTTTATAAGAAGAAACTCTAGGCTATAAAGATAAATTGGATGTGGCAGATAAATGGTTTCTAGCATGATCAAAATTAGGATAGCGAAGAAGAGAATCCTATTTAATAGAAAAAAGATGTTTATTTTTGAACACAATTGAGGATGATTGACATCTAGAGGGATGTTCTATAGGTAGTTGAAAATACAGATGAAGTTTGTTTCTCCAATTTTAATATGTTTTTGAGCATTGTGGGTTTTTTTTCCAGATTTGCAATAATTAAGATATTTTACTCATTGAAATTAGTCTCAAATTACAGAGGTTTTACTTATTTTGTTCTATAGTCATATTACTGCTTTATTTTCTTTGAATTTACTGTTAAGTAACTGATTAGCAAATGTTAGCCTGACTTCACCTTGTTTTGCTTTGGACTGGCTCAGAATTCTTATGTTTCCATTATGATTATTTTTCATAGTTTTTATTGCTGAAAACTAAGATTTGAAGAAGAAATGTAATTATCACCCGAACAATATATATATATATGTGTGTGTATATATAGATATGTATATTTATTTATTTTTCTGTGAATTTTAGGCAATGAACATCTTAACTTCAGTGCTGCTTCTGTATGCAAAAGAGGAAGAAGCTTTTTGGCTTCTGGTTGCTGTGTGTGAACGAATGTTGCCTGATTATTTTAACCGTCGAATCATTGGTAAAACACACACATCCCATATATAAGCACATATTTCTTTTTTAAACAATTTATATGTCTCTTGTCTGCCCAGTTATGTATCAAATGGAAGAAATGATCAATTAGGTTTTGAAATATACAAAATGCAAGCAATATCAAAATGTCACATTCACTGACATGCTCAAGAGAAGAGCTTTTTGTACTGAATGGGTGATTGGAAAGATTGTTTAATATGTTGCGTTTTTAAGATAAAATACTTGGTCTGTCTCTTAATAAAATAGAAATTTTAAGTATACCTTGTCTGTATTGCTGAAACAGTGGCAATCTGAAGTATCCAGAGCTACTGGAACATTTTTAGTAGTTTCTTGATGAGAGAGATTTTTAACCAGCTTATGTGAACTGTATTGATATTTGCAAGGTTTGAAAAAAGGATCAAGTTCTTGGTTAGTTACTTATATAATATTTTCTTCAGTCATCAAATATTTATAGATTTTGACACTACCACAAAGCCACAGGTGGTCTCTACTTTATGCCCTCATAAGCCTTCAGTATCATAGCTGGGTTATTGATTATATTGTCTTTCATTACGTTATTTGTATATTTATCTTAAGTTCTACTAGATATTAGGCCCTCTGAAAGTGAGGCTATTTCATTAATTGGTGTATCTCTTATGGTGCCTATTACAGGTTTCTGCACATAATATTCAATAAATTACTGTTCAAATGAATTTGAACTGAGTTTCTCAAGTGCTTCTTTTTTTTTTCCTTGATGCATGACACTTTGCTAGCAGATAAAGAGATGTGTGAAATATAGAAAAGGCCCTGAAGAAGTTCATAATTTAAGGAATAGAAATGAGATATATTGGCATACTAACAAGCGGGAAGGTATCAGAAACAAATCCTATTGAAAGGTGTTCATTTTTAAACTTCCTTTTATGTTCGCCAGGTGCCTTGGTGGATCAGGCAGTCTTTGAAGAACTTATCAGGGATCACCTTCCCCAGCTGACAGAACACATGACTGATATGACATTCTTTTCCTCAGTTTCTCTCTCATGGTTCCTCACACTTTTTATTAGTGTGCTGCCAATTGAAAGTGCAGTGAATGTGGTGGACTGTTTCTTCTATGATGGAATAAAAGCCATTTTACAGCTGGGATTGGCAATACTTGACTATAATTTGGACAAACTGCTCACATGTAAAGATGATGCTGAAGCCGTGACAGCTTTAAACAGGTATTGTCAGAACCATAGAGTTTCAATCTGGAGAGCCCCTTGGAATGTTGTTCAGCTCCCTTATTTTACAGATGAGGAAACTGAGCCCTAGAAACTTTAAACAGTTTGCCCAATGTCACAAAGCTAGTTGCATGAAAAATCTAGGACTAAAGTCCCCTTCTCTGTTTCCAAATAGAATATAGTAAGAGTAAATCCCTTTTGAAGTAAACCACTCGGTAACATACACATTTATACTAATATTGTTGATTCAGTATGCTGGGACTTTTCATAGTCCCAGTTTGAGCTATAAAGTGTTATTGTGTAAAAGTAATTTGAAAGGGGAAGGATAGTTGATAATGTTAAATATCCAGTGGGAGAAATTGGTCTGGTTTTCAAGTAATTTCAATCAGGTAGGCTGAGTTTCATTTATTCAGTGCTTTTTCTGTGAATGTTATTTTATATTGGAACATTTGTGTGTTGTGTATGTGTATGTATGTGTGTATATGTTAAATGAATGAATATTTGATTAGGGTAACCATTGGAATGGTGCATCAAATACATTTTGTACAGAATAAACTCTAAACACTCTGGCATTCAGAATACTCTGTGTTAAGGCCTCAAGGTACCTTTCTTATTTCTCCTCTCTTGCCTCTGCACACCTTATATTCCATCCTTACTGGGCTATGTGGTATTTGCTGAGTACTCTCTGAGCCTGTTTGCTTTCCTTGTGCTCTCCTCTCTGCCTATGAAATAATTTCTTCACCACCCCATTCCCTGCTCCCGTGTCCTCCTAATGCTCTAACCATCTTCAAATTCCACTTCTTCTTAAGACCATTCTTTGTCCTCTCAGCTGACATTAACTCTAACTACAGAGAAATTAGCTGTCATTTCCTCTGCATTTTACTTCCACTAATTCTTGTATTACTGTTACTTTTGGATAGGTTCTTCGACAATGTTACTAATAAGGATAGCCCATTGCCTTCAAGTGTTCGGCAGGGTTCAAACGTGAGTGATGAAAAAAGCAGTCATATTAGAGTGGATATTACAGATTTGATTAGAGAGTCAAATGAGGTAAGTTCTTTTTTATACCACAAATATAATTACATAGTATAGTTTAAATGATTGGTACTATAGTTCATAGCATAGTTTAAATGATTGGTACTATAGTTCCATCTCTAGTGGTACGTTAAGAGTAAGATGATAATACAAGTAAAAACATAATTTAAAATCCAATTTCACTTTATTTGTGTATTTTTATTGAGGTATAGTTGACATGCAATATTTATTAATTTCATGTGTACAACATAGTGATTCAACATTTGTATTGTATACGTTGTGAACTGATCACCACAATAAGTGTAGTTACCATCTGTCACCATACAAAGTTAATACGATATTATTGACTGTATTCCCCATGCTGTTCTTTATATCTCTATGGACTTACTTGTTTTACAACTGGAACTTTGTACCTCTTGATCCCCTTTACCCATTTTGCACCCCCCCAACTCCCTTCCCCTCTGGCAACTACTGTTATGTTCTCTGTATCTGAGTCTGGGTTTTGTTTTGTTTATTTGTTAGATTCCACTTACAAGGGAAATCATGTCATATTTGTCTTTCTCTGACTTATTTCACTTAGCATAATACACTCAGGTCCATCCATGTTGTTGCAAATAGCAAGATTTCGTTCTTTTTATGACTGAGTAGTATTCCACTGTATAAAAATGAGTTCTGTGAACTGTTCCTAGGTTATATAGCCTCATGTGCTTCAGTTTGCTATCCTTTAATGAAACGCTATTCACTTGCTTTCACAGGTAATGACCACTTTTAAATATCTATCACCGTATAAAAAGGTGAAAATTATTCTCTTCTTAGAGACTAAGAATTTTTCCAATGTTCTTGTACTATGTGTCTACATAGTAGATGGAATTCTCTCCAGTAAATATATAGAAAAACTGAAACGTGGGAGGTGAAAATTTGCATAGCCACTGAACAAGTTAGGAAAATAGCTAGAAATAGAACCAAGGCCTCTGAGAATTGAGTCTGGTGAAATTCAACTGTAGGAAAAGTGGATATTTATTATGAATGAGTATCTACTGAAATCATATTTTTTGCAGAAATATGGTAATATTCGCTATGAAGATATATACAGCATGCGCTGTCGAAATAGGTTATATGTCATACAGACCCTAGAGGAAACGACAAAGCAGAATGTGGTGAGTATCTACCCTATGGGGGGAAACCAACTGGAGAAACAGGTTTTTTTTCCAACTTCCTTTAAAAAATTGACATTCCATGTAAAGAAAATGAATATAACTAAATTTTTGAGCTAGATTCTTACCACAGCTTAGCTTACTGTAAATTTTTTTGAGACGAAGTAAATTATTTTCTTCTAGCTGAATTATGTCAATTTCTCCAAAATGTTTTGTTATTTGACCTTTAATATTGAATGCTATGATATAGGCATTTAAGCATTACATCTTTGTGATGTGCTTCATCAGTAAGAACAGCTGACCTATATAGTAGTCAGTGTTGCTAATATATATTATCCTTGGAAACCTAAGATAAGGTTAAAAAGATATAAAACTGTGCTTTAAATACTCTTTTTTAATATTTGGGTGGCTACATAAGAAGCTGTTAATATTGGTTGCCTCTGGTGAATGGGATTAATAGATTGCTAGTTGGAAGAGGGAGAGTTTTACTTTGCTGTATATACATCCTTCTGTACTGTTTGAGCTTATCATTAGCATGTATTGTTTTTGTAAACCTGCTTGCTTAAAGGCCACGTCCTCAGAGATACCAATCTGGGAAAATAAGCATTTCTGAAGATTCTAGGTTTAGCTTTCAATTAAATAATTGAGTGATGTTACTGTGATGTAGTTAGCATAGCCCCCTTGCTTTGGTTTTTATATATTAATATTTTTTAAAGATTTTATTTATTTATTTGACAGAGAGAGATACAGCGAGAGAGGGAACACAAGCAGGGGGAGTGGGAGAGGGAGAAGCAGGCTTCCCGTGGAGCAGGGAGCCCGATACGGGGCTCGATCCCAGGACCCTGGGATCATGACCTGCGCCGAAGGCAGACGCTTAACATCTGAGCCACCCAGGCGCCCCTTATATATATTAATATTAAAAAATAAGTCATACACGTTCACTGTAAATAATTTAAACATGACAGAAATGTAAAAAAGTAAAGATTCCCTATCCCAGGAGCATCCAGTATTAAAATTATTTGGCATATATCCTTCCAGATCTTTTTTCTATGTATCTGTAGACATAAATGTGTGTGTGTAAGGGGGGTGATATAGTTTGTTAAATGAGATCATATCAGTTACTTTGTTCTGCAGCTTACTTTTTTCAGTCAGAAATAAATGATAATCATTGCATATCAGTACATATAGACCCCCCTCACTTTTTTTAACATACTGAATAGTATACCATAGTATGGATATACTATACAGTTGACCCTTGAACAACACAGGGCCCCGGTTCCCTGTGCACTCGAAAATCTACATGTAACTTTTGACTTCCCAAAAAGTTAAGTACAGTTGACCCTTGAGCAACATAGGTTTGAACTGTTTGGGTTAACTTATACATGGATCTTTTTTGATAAATACAGTACTGTGAATGTATTTTCCTTATGATTTTCTTAATATTTTCTCTTCTCTAGCTTACTTATTGTGAGAACACAGTATGTAATATATATAACATACAAAGTATGTGTTAATCCGCTGTTTAGGTTGTCAGTAAGGCTTCTGGTCAACAATAGGCTATTAGTCGTTAAGTTTTGGGGGAATCAAAAGTTATCTGTTGATTTTTGACTGTGCAGGGGGTTCAGTGCCCCTAAACCCCATGTTGTTCAAGGGTCAACTGTACTAATAGCCTACTGTTGACCAGGAGCCTTACTGATTCATTCAGGTTCAGACATTTTTAAAAAATGAATATTGAATGTTAACTTTGATCAAAAGACCTTTCCATATCTTGAGATTATATATTTTTCCAGCTTTGTTAATGTAGTAAATTATATTAAGGAATTCCTAATGTTAGACTTCTGTTGGATTCTTGAAATGAATCCTATTTGATGATGTCATATTGTTATTTTAATATCCTGCTTTGATGATTTTGCTACATAGCTTAGCTATGGTCTTTACATCTGTGTTTAAGTTACATTGGCTTACAGTTTTCTTTCTGTGTGTGTGTAAACTTTAGTTTTCATATCAGAGTTGTACTCATGTCATAGAACGAATTTTGGAATAAATTATATTTTACTATGCTTGAGAATAGTTTAGATCACATAGGAGGGGTGCCTGGGTGGCTCAGTCGGTTAAGCATCTGCCTTCGGCTCAGGTCATGATCTCAGGGTCCTGGGATCGAGCCCCATGTTGGGCTCCACACTCAGTGGGAAGCCTGCTTCTCCGTCTCCCACTCCCCCTGCTTGTGTTCCTGCTCTCGCTGTCTCTCTCTCTGTCAAATAAATAAATAAAATCTTAAAAAAAATAGATCACATAGGAATTATACATTACCTGGAAGTTTGAGTAATTGAGCCTATAAAACCATCTGGATCTGCTGCCTTTTGGTAGAAGGAGGATTTTTTTTATTACCTTTTCAGTTCTATCTGTTCAGAATTTGTTTTTCCTGGCTTAATTTTGGTGCTTTATTTTTTTCCTAGAAAATTACCCATTTCATCTAGACTTTCAGATATATTGATATAAAGCATATAGAATTCATTCAACAGATATTTAATGCTACCTCCTCTGTGCTGGACACTTTTAATAACCTCTATACCTATGTTTATATTATCATTTTACTTCTCAATGATGTTTATTTGTGCTTTCTTTTATCTGCCTTGTGAGATATGTGTCTATTTTACTTTTTTAAAATTAGCCAACTCTGTTTTATTTATGGAGTGTTTTATTTTTATTTATTCATTTTATTTATTGTTTTTAATTTCCACTGTTTTATTAATTCTTTTATCTTCGCTCTTGCTTTTAAATTTCCTAAATACCAAAACCATTGTACCATTGATGCTTATTCGTCATGTAGTAGGATAAAACTACATATTTTCTAAGCTTCTTCTTGGATTATGTTTTTTGGCACAGAGAGGGGAATACACATCTCTCACAATGTCTTTGAAGTGTTTAATGACAGCCACACTTGATGACTTGACAGATTGCTTACGTGGCAAGAGAGGAATATGTGGAATGAGACTTAGAATACTGTTGCTTATATTTATAGACATTAAATGGATGTCCTTTGGCAATGATCTCTGGGTATGAAGGGATGAAGGTGAAAGTACATGTCAGAGTAGAATTGAACTGTAGTCTATGTACAGCCTTTTCAAAGGGCAAAATTGGTGCATTTATCTTTGTTATTCTTTTTAAAAGTTAGAAGAAAATTATTTTCTTCTAGCAGAAGGAGATTTCTAAATGGATTCAAGGAGAATTTCAATACTGAAGTGTTAAATTCTAAATTGCTTTTAATCTTTTTACAGTTGCGTGTTGTATCACAAGATGTGAAATTGAGCCTTCATGAACTGGATGAACTTTATGTCATCTTTAAGGTACTGTTGTTCTTCTTCAAGTGAAAAAATAATACTTTTAAGCAAGATTTTACCACAACCACTCTTAAATATTTTATCTTTAATTGTTTTAGTAGGCATGCTTAAAAGAAAATAATTTTATAAAATTACTTTTTATGACTTACTGACTTTCCTCTTCTTATTTGTTTTTCACAGAAAGAGCTGTTTTTTTCTTATTATTGGTGCTTGAGCTGTCCAGTCCTAAAGTACCATGACCCCAGTCTGCCATATTTGGAACAGTATCAGATTGACTGCCAGCAGTTCAGAGTGTTATATCATTTGTTGAGTCCCTGGGCTCATTCTGCAAACAAAGACTCACTAGCCTTATGGACATTCAGATTGTTGGATGAAAACTCTGACTGCCTTATAAACTTCAAAGAATTCTCCTCTGCAATTGGTAGGATAATGTCCAGTAATTTTCTTTTTTAAAGCCAAAAATAAAGGTACCCCTAGAAATAATTGGTACTGCCTGTGACTGCCAGTTTAGTCAGATTTTATCAGCCTGAGTTACATTATCTCCAGCTTTAGCAATAAGTGGACCTTTTTCTGGGTTTATTACTAAAACTAAGTATATTGGTCTCATTTTGACCCAGCCCTCTCAGAAAAGCAAGCTGTTAGATATGGATGTTTTAAAGGTTAACATGAAGGAAGCAAATGTCTGTGTCTCCCCCGACTCAGGCACATGGATACTTCAAAAGGAGCTTCCCCCTCAGTAAAAATCAACCACATAACCTAGAAAAGTGGTAGAGAAATAATCCAACAAACATGTACCTGCAGATAGTTTACCAGTTACATTGTTCCTTTGCTTTTCCAGACACCACAGCATACTTTCTTATCAGGGATTGCCCCCTTGAAGAGGAGTTCTCTCCTCAAATGAGTCATAAGGCCTCATTCAAAAGAAAAAAGAAAATTTAGGTTACGGGGAAGGGAAATCAGCAGGTGAGCATTTTTCCCTCTGATAAAGGGTATTTTGCTTATACTTGAAGGAGAGAGAATCTGGCTGACTGGGTGGTGGTTTAACTGTTAGCTTAAGTAACGGAAGGTTTTTGAATACTAATTACTGACTAGTATCTGTATCTTATTAATCTGTGTCGCTAGAATTGATTGAATGGTCTTTGAAAACATGATAATTTGTAATTGAATTTTATTGGACAGATACAATGTACAATGGAAATTTCACTGAGAAGCTTAAGCTGCTTTTTAAGCTGCATATTCCTCCAGGTAAGAGTTTAACAATCTTTAATGATATACAGGAGTTGATTCCATTTTAACAAGTATAATTACAGATATTCAATTTTAATAAATCACATAATTTTCAATATGATAAAAGGTCATTACTTCATTATGGCCCATGGATCGTATGTCCAGTACTTTTGCTGATATATAGTTACAGTGAAATCTATGGAAGAGATTCTGTGTAACAGATGGATTCACAAGTTTCCTTCAAGTTAGTAGTCAATTTAATGATAATTCATGTATAAGAACTACCTGACATTTGAATATTGGTGTAATATTGAAATGTGATGTTGTTGTTATTGTTGTCATTGGGGAGTAGAATTTAACTTTAGACAAACTGCCAAACTCGTGGAATACTACAGATTATTCAGAAAAACTGAGACTAGGCAGCAGGAATGTTAAACATTTGGAAAGGAAGCAAAATAAAAGCTGCCATTTATTGAGTACTTGCTCTGTTGAGGCATTTGCTTTACATGTATTCTTTTACTTAATTCTCAGAATATCTCTGAGAAGTGATAATGTCCTTCCAATTTCGATGATAAGGAAACTAAAGCTCAGAAAGGTTAAATTATTTGGTCAAGATCACATAGCTAATAAATTGCATAGCTGGGATTCAAACTGAGGTCTGATTCCAAAGCTCAGGTTTCTTTCTATTCTATCATACTGCCCTAATGTTACCATATAATGCCAGTTTACTTCAGTGTTTTCCACTGACCTTAAGAGGCTGCTTTCCCAGGCCTGATCCATATCTTGGGAAAAGAGTCTTAGGCTTTAAGCTAAAGGAACATTGCAAAAGTACCACTTAGTTTAGATAGGGTTAATTCACACAAGGAAACAGCACCTCGTAATTTGTCTAAAGCTACACCTGGGATTTCTTTTAGTCTTCCCAGGATAGCCAGGAACCATTCTTTTTTTTTTTATTATTTTTATTTTTTAGTTTTTATTTTTTTTTA